ATCAGTTTTAATAGTGGACAATTGAAGAATGATAGCTGATTTAAACATAGGGGTTTGTATGTTAAACATGTTAAGTGTTTCAGGTACCATTAGAATTGCATGGCTTTTCATCCTCTGACATAACTATTTTCCTCATTATTTTGAGGAAAAAATACCATGATACCCTTTAGTGGTAACTTAGTGAAGTAGATACTTTAGCTTATTAGCTAACCTTTTAAATATATTTTTGATTGCACATTTTGGATACTGGAATATTAAAGTGAAAACTATAATTTTTGAGTTTTTTTCCCATGTTTCTTTTGATATTATATTATTGTAATGGATTTTATATGATGGGAATAAATTTATGTGTAATATTTTTTTTCCTTGCAGAGTGTTGCACTCTACATACTTGGTGATGAGAGAGCTGTTTCTAATGAAGCATCACAATATTTATCCAAAGTAAATTCAGGTAGTATGATATGCTTACTATTTTGCCCCCTGTTTCCTTTAGGATAAAATACAAATTACTCAGCTTGATAATTAAGGTTCCTTTCTGTCAGGTTCCACCTTACCTTTCAGACTTATTTTACGTTGCTCTCCCTTTCAGACAATATCTGTTTCCCAAACTTGGCATTCTGTTTTCTTTTTCTGTTTATAAGTATTTCTCCCTGCCAAGAATGTATTCTTTCCTCACCTCCATCTATCAAAATCCCTTTCTTCAAGACTCAACTCAGGTGCCAGCCTCCTTCATGAAACCTTCCCCAGTTCACTCCTTCAACCCCAAGCTGAAAGTCTTCTCCCCTCTCCATAAATATTCCTCTTTCTTCTCTTCTTTTGCATAATCATTCAGCCCTGTTGTGTTTATCTGTAGAAAGTAAACTCTTTGAGGTCAGGGACTGTGTGTCTTTTTGTTATAAGGATCAAATGAGATAATATATTGCCCTATCCCAAACTTTAAAGTGCTACATATGTGTCCATTGTTAACTATAATTAATAATCATCATCATCACCATAATAATATCTAACTGCTGACTATAATAGAAAGCTTGAATGACATTTCTCTTAAATTCAATAGAGACATAAAAAAATAGTCTAAAAAACAGAAGTATATCAGAAACAGGAGTCAAAGCAGTGCAAAGAAAAAAAAACTTTACATCAGTCAAAAACTTTACCACCGAATACTTAGAAGCAGAGAAATTCAAGGAGATACAGTACCTAAAGGAGGAGAATGGTCAGCCACCAGAAATGTGAAAGTTCAATCAAGTGAGAAGCAGAAAGCTTGTACATTATTAATATAAAGAATGACAGAAGACTTTCTGAAGCCCAGTTTCTTTGCAAACTTGAAGACAGAGGAACGACCCAACTGAAGGGCCCAAGTGCTTCACTGTGGTGCATGAATCATGAGCAAAGCATTTGATCATTTTCCTTCAAACAATAGGCTGATCCTATCTTTTTTTTAACAGAAGGCATCATGTATCCATTACCAAAAGATGAGAATATGGACCCTCTCTAAACACAGTCCAGTTATATCTTTATGTCCTTTATACACAGCATTCACAAAAAATATTTAAATGTACTTAGAAGAAAATAATACATTGACTGAGAAACAAGAATAGTATTCCAAAAACATCTCACGGGTCTAAAGAGCAGATTCTAACAATTCAATAATTATTGAGCAAGCTACCTGAAATATTTGCAACATTTATTGCAGTATTACATTTGTTATGTTGATTATCGAAAGTTTATGGCTCAGTTCTATACTTAAAATTTATTTATATATTGTCAACATATAAGACCCAAGTGTAGTGAGAACTCTAAGAGTATTTGCTAACCACATGTAAAACTATTCTCTTTTTTAAAACATACCAACACGGTAATGTTAAGAACAATTTTAGAGGTAGTGTGAAGTAATGATTAGAGTGCTGACTTTGGAGCTTGAACCAGTAGATAAAAGTGATACTTAACAATACTTTGGTCTCCGGGCAAAATATGAGCATAAAGCTATAAAGAAGAAAGCCATGGTACAATTTTTCAGACTGTCTGGCACCTTGAAATCAAAGCTCTGTGGTAAGAGTACATTTCAAGCAATTAAGAGCTACAAAATGTTTAATTTATACTTTACAGATACTTAATTCATACTTTCACACAATCTTAATTTCTACTTTTGGAATTGTAAAAGAACGTAATAGATTTAGAAAGTATCTTATCAAGAACTAATACAATATTAACAAAACAAAGGGTCCATCAGCTGAAGGAAGTTATAGAAAGAGTTTCCAAGAAAGGAGGATGAGGATTGATAGACATTTTCTGAAAACACAATGAGCACCTAAAAAAACCCTGCAGAAATACTTTTGCAACAAGCAGACATCACTTCACCAAATAATAGTAAAGGCTGACAACAGATAATATGCACCATTGGATTTGTTGAATGTCAATGAGAACAGTCTAACTCTGGGTGAAGCTTGTGAAATCACCAAGGTCCAAGGATGGAAACTAAAGCCCCCCCACCCCGTGGGTAACTTCTGTATGAACTTTGCAAGCAAATGTTGACAAAGAAGCATCACAGAAATGATCAAGTCATGTAGCTTTGTTTGTTTACAGTGATGATGCAGAACTAGGTCATTACCATTAGAAATTACATGAGTTATTCTCCAGGAGACCTGATTTTGTGATCATTGCAGATTATTCGTGGAAATTGTAGAACATGTACGAAGCTGTTTTTTTTTTTGTTCAGTTACTAGGTTTTTGCTATTCCATCCTTTCCCAATTGCTATTCCAACCAACAACTTCTTCAGGGATTTGAACTTAATTCAGCCAACATTTATTAATCATTTACTATTTAAAGAGCGCTCTGTTTAAGTCCTGAGGGCAAGTAGAAGAATTTAGATGAGATCTAGCTCCTGTTCCTGCCTAGCTTTCATTGTAGGAGGATCAAGGCACATGGACATAGAAATACTAATAATATGCAGAAACTGTTTAGAAAGGTTTAAAATGAAATGTGAGGTATGCCAGAAATGCTGCTGTTGAAAGGAAGATCAGGAAAATCTACAGGGAGGAGGTGATTTTGTCTTTGTGGAGTAAGAATTCAGTTGTAGAAGAGGAAAGGGAGAACATTCTACACCTAGGGAGGAGTTCAAAGTAAGGGAGAGGGAGACCAGCATGTTTGAGATGAGGCAGCTTTTTGTGTTCAGGGATACAAGCTTGTAAGGTGGCAGTAAAATGAAAATCCATTCAGACTAAGGGATGGTTTTGTGTTTTATCCTTTCATAATGTGTTGGTTATTTTCATGTGTAGTTAATATCTTTTTCTTTGGTTTATATCAATTTTTCCTACCCACTTAAAAGCAAACACCTTGAAAGGCCATTCTTTGCAATTCAGTAAAGTGAATTAGCAGGATTCTCACTTGCAACCCATTATACATCGCTCTCTGTTCACTCATCTAGTGATCATGGCACTGCCAACTATTTTTTAAAAAAGCCTCTGGTGAAAGAACGTTAATTTCAAGTGGTCTGCATAGGAATTGAGTAGAATATGTTTCTTTACCAACTTGATTAAAATACTGTAACTTAATTTTATTTCTTTTCAGCACCAAAAAAGAATCAAATGGATCAAAATGACAACAGGTAATTTTGAACTGAGTTGTTTCTGTTCTTACTCTTTAATTGATATATTTAATGATGTGGGTTTTTTTTTTGTAGATTTAGTTTCAGACATGGTACACCTGTTAATAGCCTAGCTGAAAAATTAGTACTCTGGATGACCAATATAGGTAAGGCCATTTTTTGTTACTTTGTATCAACCTTACAATTAACAAGTAGAAAGACACACTTTTCTGCCCTAGAATCTACTTTAATTAGTACCTGCTGTTTCTTTGCCAGAAGTGAGGAGCGTAGGAAAGGGAAGGGCTTTTAGTTAGTCCTTTCTGGGAGTGTTCCATAGAATTGAGATAATTATAGAATATAAAGCATAATATAAAGATCTACTTACTTAGCAGAAGGACACTGCTATTTTTCCTTGATGTTCTCATAGTCTTCTATAATCCCTGGGAGGCATAACAACTTTGAAGGCCACTCTTTGTGGTCAAGGAACCTTCCTGTGATTATGATACCAATTAACTTTTGCACTGTTGTAATGGTTATGGTAAAAGCTGTGCTTAGAAAGGAGACCAGTAAGTGTTTTGTATTCACATTTGAAGTGATTGACCCTAGGGATCAGAATATTTCTAGTATCTCTGTTATTCCTGAGCCTTCTTGTTGGAGGATACTGTTGTAATTTCTAAAGTTAACATTCACCTGGATGTTAGGGAAGGTAGAGAAGGGTGATCCAGTAAGGGAAAGGGGGAGTGAAGTGAGATGAGTACTGAACCTTGTGGTTTATAGGAGATAACCTTCATTTTTCTAGTTAGAGAGCTTTTCAGTTGGACACAAACTTTAATCCCCCTTGGAACTGTATAAGTGACAGTTTTGCACAATTTTTAATGGAAAGTAAATTCAAGACATTTTAGAAGGTTTTAAGATTCTCTTTTTAAAATGTGAGAAAACCAAGTAGGAAAGTAAAAACTATACTAACTGGCATTAATATAATATAAAAAGTGTTTAAATTTAAAAACAGTAGCAAATACCCATTTTGCCTTTTTTTAATTGAAGTTAATTTGCTTGTATGGAAAGTCCCCTGAAACTCACTCCAATATTTATAGTTCTCTATCCCCCTCCTACTCCTCCCTTCCCCCCAAAAGCACAGTAGTCATATAAGACGTCCACTCCAGGGGAGAAACGACCATGTAAAGAACTGCTGATGTCTTATCTCTCTGTGAGAGATCTTCTGCAGTATAGTTTGAGAGATCTTCTTGATTATAGATAAGAGGCTGAGATAAGCATTAGGTTTTATATTTTACTGAAGTTATTTATTTCCTTTTTCATCTTCGTAAGGGTTCACCTTAAGGGATTTGGAGTCTCTTCCTTTTGGAGTTGCTCTTCCTATCAGAGATGCTATTTATCACTGCCGAGAACAGCCTGCTTCAGATTGGCCAGAAGCTGTCTGTCTCTTGATTGGGCGTCAGGATCTTTCCAAACAGGCCTGTGAAGGGAACTTACCAAAAGGAAAATCTGTGAGTACAGTCACATTGCTTTTTATTGAACATAATTGCTGGTTGGTATATAAGAGTGTCATTCAGTTATAATTTTAAAATAACATACATTTTTAAATAGCCATTTAGGATTATTGTCTATATTACAGATACGACAAATTTTCTATTTTAGTGAAAATGAGTACTTCTTGAGTTTGAACAGGGAATTATATGCCCAATAAGGAAAATTCTAAGAACTCTGTACTGCTGTCATTAGCCTTTTCTTTGTTCCTGAGTCAACAGGACAGTGGGGTCCGCAAAGCATTTGCACAGTGTGGTGCAGAGTCATGGGGTTTTAAGACTTGAAGGAATCTGAGAGATCTTCTGGTCTGACTCTTTCATTTTGGGGAAAAAATGGCTCAGAGAGATTAGGTCTAGTGACTTGCTCAAGGTCGAGTAGGTTCTTAGGGTATAGGAGGACAGCTGGAAGAATCCTCCCAGGGTTTGGTCCAACACCTTCATTTTACACAGGAGGACTTTGGCCCCAGAGGCTGAGGGACTCTCAGTTTCACCCATGGCATAAGTGTCATATAGCTTAGGACCAGTGGTCTTGCCACAGGCTGTGAACCTCTTGTGACCAGGGACTGAATTTACCTTTCTTTATATCTGTAGTGCTTTAACTTTGTACTTGGTGCTTAGTGGCGACTTAATGAATATTTATGGATTGATAGTGCCTCCTTTTCTAACTTTATCTCACCTTATTCCTCTTTCCCTACCTTAGACTCTAAATACTTGCCATTACTCAAACACAACTTGTAATTTTTCCTCCTCCATGGCTTTGCTCACTAGCCATCAACACAATAGCTCTGCCTTTTGAAATTCTCTAATCATCTTAGTTAGAAGTGATTTCTAACTTGTTTGAACCTCCATTGCACTTTATTCCTCTCTTACACATTTTCATATTCTGCTTTATATTATACCTGTTTATGAACATATCTCCTATGTGCCCTTGCTTCCCTTTCTTCCTCCCCCCAAACCCCCAACTGTGTAAGTCTTGAGGACAGAAATATCTGTCTTTTATATTTTCATCCCCACAGGACCTAGCTTAAGTATTTTGTTTATAGGAGTACCCAGCTATTTGGTAGGCCTGGAACTAAATTCCAGGACATTTGACTCCATTCTCCTATTATTTTGCTACTAGTTGAGTATCACAAGGCATTAGCTTGAGCCTGTATATGAAGTATAAAGTTAGTATTCAGTCATTTATCTTTCATACTTTCCTTTGTAGATAACTTGTTTTAAATTTTAAATAAAAAAAATCAACTTAGATTTACAAAAATTTTACCCTTTAAAAAGTGAACTTCAGCTGTAGATAGTCCTCACTTAAGTGGATTGTAAAGCGATTTTTACGAAATGTAAATTTGCCAGTGGAGGTGGGGAAAAAAGGTTGGAAGGGGTTGCATAGACATGTAGGGGCTGGACGTAAACACAAACAGGAGAAGATGGGCAACACAAAGGGTCCAGACCCTTGGACAGGTGGAGCCAGGCAAAGATCTCCTCTCTCTCGGCACCATGCCCCTGATCATTGGTTTTCTCTCCATGCCTCAGTTCTACTTTTACTTGGAGGCATTATTTTTGTTTGTGGAGTGAGATGCAGAGCACTGAACCTAGGGACAGGAGCAGAAAGAGAAAGAACAGTACTCTATTTCCCCCTCTTATTACCTTATTTTTTCCTTTTATAAATTTATAACCTCCACTAATAGATGTTTTATTGTAGCATGGAGGTGACTATAAATTTTCAAAGGTATAATGGCAGAGTACCAGGTCTGGCAGCTTTTATCTTTGTATCCTTGGTGCTTAGCACATTGCCTGGCACACAGAAAGTGCTTCATAGCTTTTTGATTGATTAGAATCCACACTTTCTCTTGAAACTCATCTCAACTTAATCACCACTTCCTGTTACTGACAGAATGAATAGATGGATGGGTGGATGAATAAAAAGCATTTATTAAGAACTTCCTATATGCCTAATGTCTTGCCAGGATTTAATATAATTACTAGTGAAAATCAATAATAATGTAGTAATAGAATATTATAGGTCATTTTATAAATAAGGAAAGAGTTCCAGAGATGTGAAATAGTTTGCTTAATTATAAAAATAAAATTAATTTTGTAAGTATAGATTAATTTTACTTGGAGCATTTCCTCATGAGCTAACTTAAGAAATTATCTGTTTCATATAATACTTTGACTTTTTTTTTCTTTTTGGCAGATTAAACTTAGAATTACAAAATCTTAATGTGACCTTTATCATGCTCCATTTTTATAGTATTTAAAGGATACCCTGTTTAATGATAGTTTTTTTTTTTAAAGAATATGCTTTTTAAAATTCGCTTCTTTAAATTATACTAGTAAGTTACATTAAGGCACTTTCAGCATCTTACATAGTGTAGAGAGAGGATACAAAAAGAAATAAGAGGTGGCAGTTCATTTAATAAGCTTTCCATTAGAGGATCTGTCCTAGGCCAGTTTCTGAACCTCTGAGATTAATTATGTAGATTTATGTTGCCTATATCATCAATGGAAATTGCTCGTAAATAAGTTCTGTTTCCTTTGTGTTTAGCTCAATGGTCATTTGAGGATAATGCACACTTAACTTCTTAACTGCAGTTTCAACAGTTAATCCAAACATAGATATTTCCTACTATGACCAAAGCAAAGTTATAAATTCTTTGATATTTCTGTGCTGTGATACATTTGCTGTTAAGAAGAATGATACCAACTTTGGGCAAAACTCTAAGGCAATGTGTTAAATTGGAAAGCTACTGCTTGCTATACTGCTTTTGGGGGAGAAAGAGAAGGCATCTTTAAAATTATTTTGAATAGCCTTTTAAAGTAATTTGGACACACCATACCAAAAAGACTTTCTAAATTAATTAAAAGGATAAATTTATTAGATGCTTACGAAAACAGGTAAAGATAGAGAGTAATCAGTCATACCTTAAATGATCCTTTAGTAGTTAAACACTCAGAATAAAGTGAATTAACAAATAAGCAAAAATGCTTTTGTTCTTTGTGTATTTTTCAAGTCTTTATGGAGTTCTGCTGCATATGACTTTTTCTTTCTTTGCCTCAGGGGTAGTCAATCTTGTTCTAGTCAGATTGATTTCACTTTATATTACTTCAAAGAGGTCTTTTCCATATTTCTTTATATGCTTCTTATTTATAATTTTTAAAAGTACCATAGGATTGTTGGTGATAGTTTTCCGCTTCCAGGAGCCAAGATGGTGGAGTAAAAAAAGATAGTCGCTCTCACCCTCCCCTGTCAGCCTCTGAAAACCCAGAAAATATCACCCCAGAAAAAAAACAAACAAACCCAGGAACAGCTGAACTAGAAGAGAGATGGGGAGGAGCAGTGCAACACCCCAGCAAACAGGTCTCCCAGTGCCTCAGTGGAAATAAGGGAAGCAGCACTACAAAGGGCCCCAGGCAGATAAGCACCCTGCAGCATTCATCTGAAAGGAGCTGAAGAAAGCAACCTAGAGTCTTCCTAAAGTCCAGGCCTTGCTGATTCCAGCCCAACACCAGGTAAGCTGTCAGAACCCTACAGCCTCCAACTGTTAACCAGGAAGAGATCCTGGTTGAGCAGGCAAACACCAAAACCTGAACCTCCAAGTGCCTCAGTGAGGGTGGGGGAACCACTGGAAATCAGCTCAGAAAACCACCAGGTGCCTTGGCACTCTACCACAAAGGAATCTCCCAGTGCATTAGCAAAAATGAGGGAGGCAGCATTGCAAGGGGCCCCAGGCAGATAAACACCCTGTAGCACCCATCTAAAAGGAGCTGAAGAAAGCTAAAGGAAAGGAAAAGCAGGCAACCTAGCATTGCCTGAAAGTTCCAGCCTTGCTGATTCCAGCCCAACATGAGGTAAGCTGCCAAAACCCTACAGCCTCCAATTGCCAACATAAGAGGCCCCAGCACACAAAGCCAGTGACCAAGACCTAGGCTCCCAACACAAGAAGCTTGGGTCAGTGCCCTCTGTTCCCCAGCAGAAGAGCTCAATCCCTTTAAAGGCCAGGGAATAAAGAAACACAATGAGTAAAAAGAAACATACCATAGATTCATATTATGAGAAGAGTGAAGATCAAGACAGAAATTCTGAAGAGGACAACATTGTCAACAAACCCACATCTGCAACATCAAAAGGGAATATGAACTGGTCTGAAGCCCAAAAAACCTTAGAAGAGCTCAAGAAGGATTTTAAAAGTCAAATGAGAGAGGTAGAAGAATCCTTAAAAAATACCATTGGCCAATTGGAAAAAAAGTACCCTCAAGAAAACAAGTCCCTAAAAAACACAGTTGGCAAACTGGAAAAAAAAAGTACAACAAAGAAAATAAATCCCTTAAAAATGCAATTGGCCGATTGAAGAAGGAAGTACAAAAATTAACAGAAGAAAACAATCTGTTAAAAACTAGAATTGGACAAATGGAAATTGATGACTCTATGAGAGAGCAAGAATCAGTCAAACAGAAACAAAAAAATGAAAAAATAGATGAAAACGTAAAATACCTCATTGGTAAAACAACCGATGGAAAATCGATCCAGGAGAGACAATTTAAAAATTATTGGACTACCTGAAAATCATGATGAAAAAAAGAGCCTGGACAGTACCTTTCAGGAAATCATAAAGGAAAATTGCCCTGAAGTCCTAGAACCAGAAGTGAAAATAACCATAGAAAGAATACACCCATCACCACCTGAAAGAGATCCCAAATTGACAACACCAAGGAATATAATAGCAAAATTCCAAAATTACCAGATGAAAGAGAAGGTGCTGCAAGTAGTCAGAAAGAAAGAATTTAAATACCATGGAACCACAGTCAGGATTACACAGGATCTTGCAGCTTCTACATTAAAAGGCTGCAGGGTGTGGAACATGATATTCCATAAGGCAAATGAGCTTGGAATGCAGCCAAGGATCAACTACCCAGCAAAAATGAGCATGATTTTTCAAGGGAGGAA